AGACTGAGAATAAGAGTCAAGTGCCCACTATTCCATTGCCAGGAGTAATTTCCTTGTCCACTTTATTTCTGTTTTATGGGTTCAGTTCATTTTATCTTATATCAATATACATGCATGGATCGTATGCCCGGGTAATCTTGTCATCTGTTAAAGGTATTCTAATGATAAAATTATGTAAGGATTTTGTGGCGGGACAACCAAAAAGTCATATATTTGCAAAGAAGAATATGTTTTATATTTATGTATCTCGTATATAAAGTTTTGATTTGAGTTACTTGAATCTTTGATAGCTTTCTGGAGTATACAATCCATATTCTTTTGTTATTAAGAATATCAAGCTTAAAATGTCGATTCGTCTTTCGTTAAAACCAAGGACGACCAATTGGGGGTCTAGTTTTAACTAAGTCACAATTATTTTTCAATTGGTCATGCTAAAACGGATTTACATGTATGCATTCGTGTAATACCGGAACATGCAAACATTGCAGTATGTAAAAATTGATCATTCTAAAATAGAATTAATTTGTAATGAAATAATTATTTATTGGTTAGAATTGTATGAATAATGTAATACAGAAGCCATCTACCCTCTGTATTATCGGACAGAAAGAATCGTTGTTCAATAATTTGGTCGTTATGTGGACATTCCGATCATTTCCCCATTTATGTTGGTGAGTTATCATGCTGTAGTAATAGCGTTAAAGTATGCACCGAGTGTATAAAGGCCAGCGTGTTATAAGTACGTTGATTGTTATTAATAGCATATGCAGTATAATAAAGTGTTACTTAGTCCTGAATGCTTGCGTCCGATAGTTTTACGTTGGGACAGATCATGGCAAAGCTATGTTGTGTGGCAGACACTGCAGTGGGCAGTGAGCATTTCCCACGATCTCAAGCAACAGGAGGTGGAAGTTATGTTTTCATAAATTTGGTTCAGTTTAATCAGCGACACTAAACGTTCAACAAGTGTAGTTATGAGTGAGTGAGTAAGTGAGTTTAGTTTTACGCCGCACTCAGCAATAGTCCAGCTGCACGGCGGGGATCTGGACCGGACAATCCAATGATGAACAGCATGAGCATCGATCTACGCAGTTAGGGATATGATGACATGTGTTAACCAAGTCAGCGAGCCTGACCACCCGATCCCGTTAGTCGCCTCTTACGACAAGCATAGGTTACTGAAGATCAATTCTAACCCGGATCTTCAAGGGTGGATGACGTTATGACGTTGATGTTAGCATCTGTGTCGCTGGGTATGTGTTGAAGTGTTTTATGTCTTTAAGGTTGGAACGTACGTTTCCACTACAACTGTAGGCTGCATAAGATTGAAGCCATGAAATAGAGTACTCGCCAAATTATTTGCACTACATAATAGGGTCCCCGACAATTACAACTGACGTGGATGTCGACGGCTTGGGAAGAGGTGTCAGGCATGGCGTCGACGTGGAAGGTGTGGTTAACGTTTTGAAGGGTCGCTCATGCCAGTCATGGCAGACATAATTCATCGTCGGAAAATGCTCAGGATTACATGACAATGTGATATTCCACGAATTGGAGGATCACCGAAGTGAGTGTGAGTGATGATGGTTTTACGCCGCTTTTAGCAATATTCCGGCGGGGGACACCAGAAATGGGCTTCACACATTGTGCCCATGTGGGGAATCGAACCCGGGTCTTCGGCGTGACGAGAGACGGCTTTAACCAATAGGCTTCCCCACCGCCCGGTGACGAAATTAAAACACATCGACATGGTCCGATGACATTTTGGTGCACGGCGTTGCCTGGTGTGTGTGGAACCAGCTCAGGCGTTCGAATCCCTGTTTGGATAATAATTTAAAAAAAAAAATCTAGATTTTTGCAACCGTATGTTGTTTTTATATGTTATGAGTAACTTATATTTCACACAAGGTGTATTTTTTGTAATGAGTGTAGCGGGGGTAATTTTCTAAAAATCCATTTCTTCACCGAATTCTTTCAATTTTGAAATATAAGTTACTCATAACATATAAAACAATATACGATTGCAAAAATCTAGATTTTTTAAAATAAAATTATTGTCCAAACAGTGATTCGAACCCCTGTGGGAACCAGTGTCAAGCGAGCCTCGACATCCTTCACGACGTTGTTGCCATGACATCATCACGCGACTCCTTGTGACAAAAGCACTGCAACTCCAGGAGATGTGGGACATGAATGGGTCCCTCTTCCATCGTGTACTTTGTACTAACAGTTGGGTGGGGTACACTACATGCGAGATTCTGCTTTTTTCCGGAATTGTGTGTACTCTAGCATCTCCGGGGATTGTGTGTTTCATGGGTACGAAATTATTTTCATTTAATATTTAATCAGAGAAGTGAAGTGTAATTAGGCGACTTCTCATGACAATGTATAATCTCAACAGTAAACATTGTTGATATAACATTTTGTCTTTGTTTTCTTCCAGAGAGTTTTGAAGTTCCATTTGTGAATTCCATTGTGAATTATGGCGAACCTGAAAAATGACAATTCCAATTGGTAGTTCTCTGCATTTGTTTTTTCCTGACTGTAAAGTGTCTGGCTTGGATTACTTATTGTGGCAATTTGGTCTGAGTAATATAATCTGGTGTTTATCAGATTAAAATACCGACACCAAAGGTTGGAGATCATACAAAGTTGACACCATCAGAACATCCCATCTTTTCTATAAGATTATGTCAGGATTTTACGAGTGATTCTATGATTATAGCGTAACATAGTCTGCACTGGGTATACAACAGTTCTGGTTTAAAAGCTCAATATCTGTTGCTGATATAACAGTTACCACGCGATTCATTGACGCGACAGTGAACATACATAATTGACTGATTAGCTCTGAAATTTAATTACCTGACTAAGAAGAAACAATGGATAAAAGCAACCGTCAACCTTCACGGGGTAATGTTCAGGTACAGCTACGCGAGTAAACACTGCCTCATTTTGCCTCATTCCATGCGCCATCCTGGTTCCCGGGGCCTCTCATTAGTTAATAAAGAGGGCCTCTATATTATGAGAGGCCCGGTAACCAGGATTTACATGCGTGTTCAAAGTTCATAAGTGTCCGCTTTTCGCTCCTATAGCACCAATTTCACATTATTCTCAGCATTCACGAACTGATTAACATATCGTGATCCATGGACCCAGAGACCTGCCTTGTTACTCATTGAAGTCATATTTGACAATTAATTGCCAACATTTTGGTCTTGCGCTCAAAGTGGCACGTACCGTTGGAAGTCAACGGTGACTTGTCAATCTATTCCATACGTAAAATGTCTCCACCTGCGTACCCAAAGTGCTAAGCCTGTGTCTGTGTCATTATGTTAAATATGTACGTAAAAATACTTTATACTAAGACTATAGCAATATTTATTATCCCTGTTAAAATAACCGACTAAGATTTAAAACATTCTGATAATGGAACAGAAATTCTTTGTAGTAATATTTTTGGATCGTTTTTAACTGAATCACCAGTTGACTGGAGCAAAACTTGTGTGCACATTTGATTGATATTCCGGATTAGTTGCATAACAGGTAGCATAACCGGAACGACAATTGAATAATCATGTCTAGTTATCTTTGATTGCAAGTTTCCTATTATCATTTACAAAGTTTGTTTGTTCACCCCCGACGATACGACCTAGGTTTGAGTGGGCACAATACGCGAAATAGCACGTATGCAGTGCATGCAAATGGAAAATACGATTTTACTTGGCCTTTGTGTCATGTTAGGTATAATGCTCGTCTTTCATAACGCGGGGGATCATCCATGGACCCCAAGAACCGAGTTATGACGATGTATATGAAATAAGCACAGAGAAATCAACAAGCCAGACGAGCTTGCTTGTGATATTTTCTACTGGCCCCATGACAACCAGCTGGTGGGCAGGCAGTTATTTCGAACATTGTTGTGTTCTGAGGATATGTTTTTGTTAATTAAAATGTCACATTAATTAACTCTTAGTAATTATGGGTCACAAAAGTTTCAAACGCTGAGTATGGATTTGAACTCAAATCTTGAACTTGGGCTATATAATTTCACCTGTTAAAAGAGTAGGCTTAGGAGTTAGAGTTACCTCCTCTTTGAAGTTGTTGTTGCTTTCGGCGGAAAATTGGGATTCATTCCAGTAATTATTATATGATCCTAGTGTGATCAAAATGGTCGTAATGAAGCGTGGCTGGAAGTGCTGGAAGTCTCTGGGGTAAGGAGTTCCTCCCGTTCCCCTATCCCAAATAATATTTATAAATTAATATATATCGAAGTTCAAAATTGAAGTTAGATTTAGGGTTTTTTAGGTTTAGGGTTGGGGAACGGAAGGAACTCTTTCCGTCTCTGGAACTGTATAATAGGCATATGAAATGGGATGGTTGTTGAGATGTAGAGGGGGACTACTACTACTTTGGATTTACGCTCGTCTGTTTGTTAACATTGACGTTTCATAACTTTCAAGAGGCCTCGTCTACATTGAACTTTCAACAGCTGTCAACAATCTACAGTCAGTACATCTGTTTTCCAGAAATATCATGACTTTGGTGAGTTAATATTTTAGATTTGTGCTCCAGTAGTATTATATTGGCAGTCTGTACTGTCATTCATTGCAGCCTTGTTTATTGTTTATTCAGTATATTATTGAATATCATAGACTTGTGTGTGTTCTATTTTGCTGGTTACAAGACCTTACAAGACCTGGACTCACAAGACCTTTATCTCGGTAATTTCTAAACCATAACAGTTGCAAAGTCGGTAATTTGATACAAAATGATACTTTTTCCTGAGTAAATTTATATATACATACATTTAAGCATCGTCTATGAAGATATAAGTATTGTCTATATAGGTGTTAAAAAATAGACTGTGACGATGGCACTAATACGCTTCCATATCGTCACATTATGTGGTTGAAACATGTCCCATTTTTTTACCAATTTGGGCCCCTGTACTCAACTTTTCCCAGTACCATTATTCACTGGAGTTATCTCCCTTATAACAGTGGCGTGCAAAACCCTGCCTTTAGCTTTTGGAACAAACAACATTCATATGTGTAGAGTGTTATTTTTTACTACACGAGTATATGATGGCATAAACATACGCGTCTATAGTTCCTGAGACATTCACTTGACGCGACTAACACAAATAATGACTTTTCATCGATACCATGCAGTGTCAAGTGACAGATGCCATCAGATAGAGACAACATGAACAGTCAGAAAGGTTAGTGGGTGGCTGCCATTTATGTTTCAGTGTTTGTTGTGTAAAGTTGTGTCGGCCGCCACACTGAGCAGTTATACACTTGCGCTTAGTCCCTGATATATGTAGTTTTGATAGTAACAAATAAACCCATATAAATTGAAACGGAGCCTTAGTGAGATGTGACATTCCTGATGAAATGTAGACTTGCTTTATCTAGCGCTCCACTATTGCAAGGGGGATTAGGCAGTAGGGAAAATAATGTTGTTCAGAGACTGTGAGACAGACTATAGGCAGTCATTGCTTCTGCCAGTGAAACGCAGCACACCATGGAAACCAGACTGCTGAACGACAGATTCACAATCATTTTGATATCAAGTGAGTGATATGCAATGGGGTTAAGCCTTGCATATCTGGTAAGACTTCCGCCCGTCTCCCCCCCCTAAATTTTAATGATGAGGAAAAAATTCTTTGAGTTGCATTTGTTGAAGTCTTTCAATATGTTCAGATACAATTAAAGAAACATGTTAAAACCCACCCTTATCAGATGATTATAAATTTAGGTGATATGGTTTTACTAGAATGAAATTTAGGTGGGGATATGGGCGGAAGTCTTTCTGCTTATCTAACATTGGCTTTATATCATTGAAACATTGGTGTCAGCATTGGAGCAAGGGCAACACCACTTAATCATGTTAATAGTAAAATCATATCTATTTTCATACCCACCTCATCATGTTCATAGTCATTTGTGTCCCCTGACTTTATATTGTTGGAATATTGCTAGAAGTGGTTTAAAACTAAACTCACTCACTCCTTTGTGTAAATATAAAGAGGCAAAGTTCAGCAGTGTACACTTTGTTTGTTTTTGCCAGCAATATTCCTGATATATAGCAGCGGTCTGTAAATAACAGAATCTGGACCAGATAATACAGTGATTAACATCGATCATCGATGAGCATCGATCTATGCAATTGTGATACGATGACATGTGTCAGCGAGCCTGACCATCCGATCCCATTAGTCTCCTCCTACAACAAGCATGGGGCGGTTAAGACCAATTCTGACCTGATCTTCACGGGTTAGCAGTGTACTATCATGGAATAATAATTCATTCGAAAATTCATAATTGATTATAACCACTACAAGCGATATATTAGGATTCAGATATTAGGAAAATATAAATATAGAATATTAGTTTCATCATGGATCAGTAATAGCTTAGAGAATGACTCCAGTCAAAAGTAGTAACACTCATCTCACAGACATACTATTGAAAAAGGTATAAGTTACGACTACACAATTTCACAGATGTTCCATATAAATCCTAGCCTAAGGTATTAAGGACTCAACTGTTAGACAAACCTTTCTGTAAGACAAAAGCTATGTTGAGATGGTTTAATAAACTGCTTTGATAAAGTAAACATGTCATCGCCTATATTAAAATAACATTGTGCAAACACTTCAAATTAGGGTCATTAAGCCATGGCTCAGAGTAAGCACATCAAATTAGGCTCGTTAAGATCTAGCCCTCTGTAAGCATCCAGTAAATGTGCCAACAAGATTAGTGCCAGTTGAAGTAGGATTTGCAGGATTAAGTAATCCCCTCTGTTTGGTCATTACAGTGGTACTTGTAGAACACACCCCATTCTGTATATGCTGTATTTCATTGGTTATTAGAGGGCACACCCATTTTGTATCATTCAACGAATCGTAATCTTATTATTGTTTAAATTTTAGATAAATAGTCACCAATTCCAATTGTTAGTCAGTAGGGTTTAGACTCCCAACACAGCTCTAGCCCTCAGCCCATAGGGTTGTACCGACTCTTTGTGGCCAACCCATGTTATTCATATCATGTTATTCTGTTTCTTGTTAATAAAATTGTAATTAGCTTCTTGTGACTTCGGACACTTTGCTGAACTAATTCCCCACAAGCAGACCAGCACGCCAGTTAGAAAAGGGGGGTTCACCGGAACCCTCACTGGACCCAAGACCCCTATCATAATAGTACAGAAGTACATATATAATAAAATATAACAAAATAATAACACATCACAAATTTCCCCCATACTTGTCTGAACCCTGAATATCAAGTTAAAACATAGTGGAGGCAGTGTGCGAAATAGTTTCCAAATTTGGCTAGCCAGTCAGGCTTGCTATGCCTGAAAGTTACTAGCCCACAAAATAATTCACTAGCCCGAAATTTGAATGTAGAAACTAATCAAGAGACAACAAAAAGGTAAAATGCCAACAAAAACAAATAAGAAAAGACATGTCTGAATTTCTGGAATATTTTTTTGTATGCTCAAATAAGTCATCTTTAAGCTGCTAATATGATGTAAATTTTTATCAGGCCATAATCTTGCATGAGTGTGTTATAACTTAACAAGTCAGGGAGAGATATATTTACAAAATGACCCCATGGAAATACTTGCCACTAGCCAGTCGGGCTAGTGACTGTGGAGACTTTACTGGCCTGACTGGATTTCAGTACTTCACTCACGGGCTGAAGCGGGCCGGTGGCGTTATTCCTTGCACACTGACTTGGACTCACTCACTCACTCACTCACTCACTCACTCACTCACTCACTCACTCACTCACTCACTCACTCACTTCACGCTGTTATATTTTATGCAACCTGGAAATTAATATGACTATGACCGACAATATATATGTGACAAGTTTTGAAATGAAAACATGTGACATTAGTTTTGAAATTAATTATTGACATTCCTGTATCGCATACTTTTAGTGTGCTCTACATTGGCCTGTAATTTATGAGTTAGTTATGATTTTTTGATATCCAGTGTTTTTTCTCCTGAATGAAATTGCATGTTAATACCAGTTGTATGTTGTCTGATACCTAATTTATCAGTAAATGCGTAACATATGTATTCATGTACACATCTCATCTTTAGATATTATATTGTAAACGTTCGTATATAATAAAAGGTTGTAAATCTTTTATTGTTGGATTGGAAGCAGTCTTAGGTTCTAATTTTTAGAAAAGGCTATCTTTCAATTGAACAAAATAAACTTGGTCAATATGTAGTGCCTGGGCACCAAGTTCAGAATCTGTTATAAATACCTTCACACGTTATAGCCATCAAATGGAATCTGGTCCTTTGGCATGGTGGGCCATCCCTAGGTTATGTCATCACTCCTTCAAGTGAAGGAAGTTCATCTCTTCCTTACACTTATTTCAGATATATTTTGGTTGCACCGTGTAAAACTGTTGTCAATGCACACATAAGTCCTCATTCTTTGAAAATAATGATTCCTCATGTTTGTCAGAAGAGCAACTAGTGGGATCGGGTGTTTGGGCTCACTGACTTGGTTGACCAAACTTATTTATGCTCATGATGTTGATCACTGGATTATCTGGTCCAGACTGTATCCTTAACAGACTGCTGCCATATTGCTGGAATATTGCTGAGTGCAGTGTTAAACAACAAACTAGCAAGAAATGTGAACCTGTTGATTTGGGTGTATGTATTTTCCAGGTTTGCTTGTTTGCTTTTAATCTCTGCATTAATGATGACAGCGAATGATCAGTCATGAAAACATAGTTACACCTGGGGAGTTTTAGTTGCCAAGAGGGGAGGTGGGGTAGCCTAATGGTTAAAGCGTTGGCTCGTCACACCGAAGACCTTGGTTCGAATCCCCACATGGGTACAATGTGTGAAGCCCATTTCTGGTGTCCCCCGCCCTGATGTTGCTGGAATATTGCTAAAAGCGGCGTAAAACCAAACTCAGTCAGTCAGTCAGTCAGTAGTTGCCAAGATGAGGTTCTGGTGATTGTCACTCAGCATTAGAAAGATGGCTTGATGCGTATTTCTAACATGCAGTCTTTGAATGGCATTTAGAAGTGATACACATAATAGGTGATTGAAAGGGTATGGACTGGGAAAGCGAAATCTGGACTAAACCTCCTCAATTTGGGTGTCGCTGAACACTGAATTTAGCATTCCCGGGACTCTCAATACACAAGAAAAACAAAGAAATGTGAGTCGTCGTCTGATACCGTAGTCATGGTTGAAATTTGATAAATAAATAACAATAAATGTTTGAGCCACAGACTGTTCACCGATAAGTCACATTGATGGAGTGAGTGAGTGAGTGAGTTTCACATTGATGGATCATGTGGAGGTGGCTCACTGAAGGTGGCTCACTAAAGGTGGATCAGGTCAGCGACGTGATCAGTGTAGTCCAGGACAGCAAACAGTAGATGAACTGGAACATGTGGCCTTGATACTCAGCATTCAGTGTGTAGATCTGCTCGAACAACCGGGGAGCTGAGGCTCACAGATCGAGTATTGGGGCCGCGCGCTAATCTGAAGTACGGTAATCTGATGTCATAACAATTCGCTTTCGCGACACTTCTAGCACAACTTTGGTTTTTGCTTTACCGGGAATAGGGAATATTGAAATTTCGCATTCTCGGGGCGACACCGAATGAAAAACTAGGTAGCAGATAGCTATATAAGTACATGTAAAACAACAATGATAAGATAACAATGGTGGCTGCTTAGTTAATTGGTGCTGATTTGTTTGACATAGCTAGCTGCTTCCTAGTTTTTTATTCACCTGATAAAGAGGTAAGAACATACTCTGAAATGTTGAAATCAATAGATTCTCACTTTTTATCATGCATATGATAGTTACTTACTGTTTTTTGTGAGCCTCCTTTTCACATCTAATGAGATTATGCAGGCCTTGAGTTAAGGAAATGAAACTTACTTGCACCAGGTGCAACTTTAGGTAATATTGCACAATCCATAACAGGTTGCACTTGCTGCTCATTATGAAATTGTATGTAATCCTTGAGTTTAAGAAATGATGATTTAGAACATTATTATTACAAAATATGCTGGGTCTGATAAGATTATTTCATCTCAATAAAATTTGATGACATGAAGAGTAACAGTCATACAATAAATGTCTGTGTAATCATCTGAGTCACTGCCCCGAGCCAGTTTCTCATCATTTTTCAGCTGAAGTCTGTATTTTTAACAGAAAAGTATCAATGTACACTGTGTGTAAGTTGATATAAATATGAGGTTGCATTTTGCAGTTTTAGGTTTCACCAGTACAAGTTGTTAATGCTAAAAGTGTGCCCTATTATGGATTTGCTGAAAAAATAAGTTTTTTTTAACACATTAATAATCTGAATGGTCATATTTTTAAATGTCATTATGCATTAAACTATTAAAGATTTATTAAAATAATATATTAGTACTTACTTTTTAAGTTATTCTTTATGTAGGCATTTAAAGTTGTGTTACTGTTTATATTGTGTATGCTGTTTTTGTGAGTAAGTTGATCATTGGATTGTCTGGTCCAGAGTCGATCATTTACAGACTGTCGCCATATTGCTGGAATCTTGCTGAGTGCAGTGTAAAACTACACCTACACACACACACACACACACACACACACACACACACCCTGCCCCACCCACACTCACTCGCTCACTATATAAGAAACTTCTGCAATCGTGTTTGTTGTTTGCTCAAAAGGAGGAATTATCTGACAAGGAACAGGAGGTAAGTGAGGCAAAATGGGGGCAAAGTCACTCATTTGGCTGACTTTGTGTGCTAGCAATTGGGTGAAGAAGACCTGGGTTCGATTCCATACATGAGTACGACGTATGAAGTCCATTTCTAGTGTCTCCCACCAGGATATTGCTAGAATATTGCTAAAATCGGTGTAAACCTCAACTCACTCAATTGCCATTTTGTCCCAATTACCTCTGTCATGATTGGCAGAGATGCCAACCCATACGATTTTATTCGTTGTGAAAAAACAACACAAAATACAAGACTACGATAGCAGTAAAAATATATAAAGTTTTCATAAAATACATTAAATCAAATTATCAAATAGCATACGTACCATACACAATAAATTTCAACCCCATTTTATTCAGTATCAAGCTATACATGGATAGTTACTACTGATTTACGTGAGTACAATGTTAATAACAAGTTCTTAGACTATCTATATATTTTGTGTTAGACATGAAAATACTTTGGAAAAGTTAATACTAATTTTTGCATCAGTTTTTGGCCAAATACTAATTGGGCTAAATTAGGGTTGGCATCTCTGGATTGGTATTTTTGTTTGGAGTGTTTATGCTTTCCTTCCAGTCATTTTTTGTGTGTTTATTGTGTCTGTCCCTTAGTGAGGTGCTGCAGTCAACAGTTAATTTTCATTTGCACTTCAGCATATTTGAAGAGGGAGGACCCCATGGTTCCTAGTATGGTGATCTACCTTCAGATGCTGGTGATCTATAGCCCGTGTGTTATATTGTATTGTCTTCTTTAATTACACTGTTTTAGTTTTACATGCTAGTTTTTTATGTTCATATCTGTGATACTGTAGTATTTTTACTGTCCATCTTCGACAGGTTTAACTCTTCACAATGTTTTCATTTTTGTATTATGTAAATTGTTTTCGTCGCGATATGGGTGAGATATTGCCGATGTGACGTTAAATATTAACTCACTCACTCACTGAAGAGGGAGGATCTTGTATTGACATAACAATGAGTTGAGTGGTTTCTCAAACTTGTGTCAGTCATTAGTTACTGTGTATATGTGGAAGTGTTGTATGCCTGTTATTTTTACATATCTGAGTATTTAAAATGCAATGAAGTAATGAGTAAGTGAGTGAGTATGGTTTTACGCCGCTATTAGCAACATTCCACAACATCACGGCGGGGAACACAAAAAATGGGCTTCACGCATTGTGCCCATGTGGGGAATCGAACCCGGGTCTTCAGCGTGACAAGCCAATGCTTTAACCTCGAGGTTACCCCACTGCCCCAATGAACGAAGTAATGAAGTAATGCATGAACCATTAAAGTGTTGTGTTAAAGGACTGACGGTTTAAATGTATCATTGTGTATACTTTTTGTATCCATTAACCTTTTAGTTTTACTGTGATGTACTGAATATAACAATTTCATACAGCTTTTTTACTTAGCTTCTGGCTGAGTTGTCTCAAAGTCAACTTTGGAATTAATCAAGGCATTTCGGGAGGTATGGGGTACGATTGCAAGATTGGGTCTCTCCTTTGTTTAAGAGACCGCCTCCGGGGTGTAGTGGTTAGAGCATCCGCCCAGAGAGTGGAAGGTCGCGGGTTTGATCCCCGACCGCGTCATACCGAAAGACGTTAAAATATGGTACTTGTTGGTCCCTGCCTGGCGCTCGGCATTAATGGTCGTTTTGGAGTCAGTATAATGTATGGCCACATAAATACGTGCAAACACCTAGCGGTGGGTACAGCAACGTGCAGTAAACTTGTGACTATGTGTCCCAGTCCACCCAGCTGTGAATGGGTACCTTGTTAGGATGAGAAAGCCACAATAACTTGGTGTGCCTAGTGGCTGCAAGAAATGTATACTCCCCAGGGAGTTGAGATTGATAATACAATGTGCTGTTGAGATTGACATCCAATGACCGAGGGAAAAAATACCAGTGCCTTGAGCATGCACTAGTTGCCTGGATATGTGCTATATAAATATCCTATTATAATCATATGAGTGAAATAGTCTTAAAGAGCGATGTTAAACCCCATTTCACCTCACCTCACCTCACCTTTGTTTCAGACAGCTTCACCTGATTGGCCAGCTCTGCACACAAGCCTAGATTGACGACTGGCTCAATCAGAAGTCCTGCCAGGTTAGTTAAGTATTTAATGTGATTTTAACTAGAACGGTTAGTTTATGGACCATTTAAGTCACATTAATGTGAGCTCGTCCTCTTTTCATTTTTCTATTTCTGTCTTTGAGAATGAGAGAGTGAGTATATTCTCTTTATCATATATATGTGTTTGTTTCTATTATTTCTTATATTTGTGTTTAGATGCAGTTGATATAATCAGTTCACACCCCAGTATAATCCACTGGGTATGGTTATAACCCTTAAATTTCATTTTGCAAGACCCTAACCTGAATCTAACCCTAACCCTTACCCTAACCCTAACCCAGGGCTCCAGATAAGGGCCATATCGGCGTATGTACGGATAAGAAAATATGCATGATATCGTAGGAAATAATTTAGAAAACGTAGCAGATACACAGCATGGCAATGGTGTACGGTCTTAGAATCATTTACAGACGTATTTATCTGAAAAAGTATTGTTTTATTGTTTATTGACCTGTTTACACAGGACTAGCAATATTGTGGTGCATATATGAAACAAAAAACACAAGATTACTGATACTCTATTAAATTCCATTCAGTACTCTAAATGTACTCTTAAGTTTTTCCAGTACTCCTATATTGAAAAAATAAGGAGTACGTACTCCTGATGTTGAAAAATTATCTGGAGCCCTACCCTAACCCTAAACCTTACTTTATGGCTTCTTGACAAATCATATTACCTGGATATATAGATATCTTTTTCCTCATCGTTAAAATTGAAGGGGGATACGGGCGGATTAGTCTTGCCATAATCCTCATGCATATTATATCATCATCATCATCATCATCATCATCATCATCATCATCATCATCATCATCATCATCATCATCATCATCATCACCATCTTAAAAACCAGATGTAGTGCCAGTTCCAGTCCAAAAGAACTGCTCAGTAGCCCTCTCCGAACAACTCAAGATACATATGTATATATAGTCAATGTAATTCATACAACAATCCTTGAATGTATTTGATAACTTGCTTGTTGTTCCCAAAGTGAAGACAGTGATGTATGGAAACAGGTCCTTTGTCCATGCAGGATCAATGGCCCGGAACAGCCTCACGCAGAGTCTTAGAGACTGTTGTGATTTTTAAACCTTTAAATCCAATCTAAAAACACTCATGATCAAGATTGCCTTTCAACTGTAGCTCTGTGCCTTAATTGCATTTTTATTTTGTGCGCTTTGAGGATGCATAAGCATGGATATATGCACATTAAAAATATGCTTTTATGTTATAAATATTTAGGTAAACTACATTAAAATATTTATATTATATTATGATATCCTTTTGACGTTGTTTAATGAATATAAATATGAATGAATATGAATGTGATGTACCTTCACATACATATGACCACCTCCGTTGTGTAGTTGTGTAGTGGTTAGAGCGTCCGCCCGCGTCATACCAAAAGACGTTAAAATATGGTACTTGTTGGTCCCTGCCTGGCGCTCGGCATTAATGGGTACAACAAGGACTGATCGGCTCGGAGTCAGTATAATGTGTCTGAGTGGGGTATTCATGCTTCACTGCGGCATGGTATCTCAGTGGGCTAGCACTATAAAACCAGCTTAAGTCTGGGCTAGTACAAGCAGCCGCACATACACATACACACACATGCACGTCGTCATATGAGCGAAATATTCTCAAGCACGACATTAAACCCAATTTCACCTCACCTCACCTCACATACATATGCATATCTATTTATTTTTATGTATATATACACAAAGAACTTCATTAAGCACCCCTGTATTTTTGCAATGATTTGTTTTCAACATGTACATAAAATTTCCCCAGGTGACCCCGATGAAAACACATGAGTTTTCTGACCAATATAAATGACAAATGATTGGAATCCATGTTCATTTTATGATGGTAATTGCTCATTTTAAAACACACAGATTTTCATACAAAACCATGTCTGTACATAAGTATGGCCCTGGAATATTTAATGTTGAATTTATTGGTGAATGTGAACATTCAAAATGTCATTTTGCGTGTCTTACATGATTCAAGGTCAATACCGAGTGTAACCTCCATGTGACTGTATGACAGCCAGCACTCTCCTCCTCATACCCCCTGTCAGCCTCCTGATCCTCTGAAGGGACAGTCTACGCCATTCCTCATGTAAAGCAGCTTCCAATTGGGCCAGGTTCTGTACGGGGAGATCCCTTTATTTATATAATAAGTGCATTTGTTATGCGCTATTTTCCATCTGTTGAGGGGCAGTGGGGTAGCCTAAGGGTTAAAGCGTTAGCTCGTTACACTGACAACCCGGGTTCGAATCCCCACATGGGCACAATGTGTGAAGCACATTTATGGTGATATTGCTGGAATATTGCTAAAAGCGTCGTAAAACCCACTCACTCACCCACTCCATCTGTTGTGGTTGCTCAAAGCGCAGACAATCTGATTATTATTACCCCGGATAACCAAAGCTACCTTTGAGGCGCTAGAAGGCTATAGTCACATGACTTATCCCTCCAGGTACCCATTTTCTGCTGGGTGAACAGAGGCAATTTTGAACAAACGCACTTGCCTAAGGTGAGACCACATGTGTCACATGTGCTTTGTTGTGGGGTAGGACTGAAGTCCTAGAAACTCTCAGGAGTCAAGCTGCCAAACACAGTCACCCATCCAAGGACTTTCCGCGCCCAACATTGCTTAACATCAACTGATTTGCGGCCTGAGCTCGATACACTGGACCACATAACTCAACTGTACCGAAACATCGCTATTATACATTAAAGAAGTTGATCATCCATAAAGATATAATGACACAACAAACTGTGGCTTGCTGTTTTAAACATGGCCATCGCCACTACCATGCTGGGAAATATATTTGCTATTTTATTATTATTATATTTATTATTATGGGATATTATAGCACACATATCCAGGCAACTAGTGCATGCTCAAGGCACTGGTATTCCCTCGATCATTGGATATCAATCTCAACGTCACATCGTATTATCAATCTCAACTCCCTGGGAGTATACAACTCTTGCAGCCACTAGGCACACCGAGTTATTGTGGTTTTCTCATCCTAACGAGGTACCCATTCACATCTGGGTGGACTATTTAGTGAGTATATTTGCATGTATTATATAACAAACTGAGTTAAAGAGTTTAATTTAACTCCAGTAACTGACTAGTCTTCATTTACAATAAAATCGGGGCGTTGGGGTAGCCTAGTGGTTAAAGCGTTGGCTTGTCACGCCGAAGACCCGGGTTCGATTCCCCACATGGGCACAATGTGTGAAGCCCATTTCTGGTGTCCCCCGTCGTGATATTGCTGGAATATTGCTAAAAGCGGCGTAAAACCAAACTCAGTCAGTCAGTTACAATAAAATCATCAACAAAATATCATATCTCAGCAATCTAAATTGCTTCCTTGAAAATGATAGTTGTTTCACTTACAGACACCAGCTGCTGATCGAGGTAATAGCTATGAATAAAACAGTTGAGTTGAGTTGAGTTTTATGCTGCATCAGCATTATCTCAGCCATGGAGTGACGAGACCAAGTCTGCATACATGGACATTTTAACAGAAAAAAACCCAAACTACTGAATGATGTTTTATGAAAAATAATACTCTTAGTTATTAAGGATGAAATATCTGTCGGCCATAAGGACCTGCAGAAAACAAAAGCCGTGGGTCCGAGTGGTTTTCAGTCGGTTTCGGGCCTAAGGACCAACGTTAATTTCGAACGCTGGCTGTTGGGGACACAAAACAAAGCAACCGAGTGACCGTTTTAACCACTAGGCCACTAATTTACTGTCGGTCAGTACAATTTCATACACACAAAATAGCTGTGAATACTATTTAAGGCTAAACTGTGGATTTAGAATTGGTCCCGAGTAATCACTTTGATCAGGGTGACAATGATATGTCAGTAGCATAAATTGTCGATATCTGGATTTTTTGGTGCAGATTGCATTCTTTAAAGGCACTATATCACACCACACTTCTCAAAAAATAAATCATGCATTTCTCTCAATAATACTAACTATCGGCCCTCAGGGAAGCTACCATATAATTTATTCCCAAAGAAATTACGTATTTAGATTACAATATTGAATTAAAAAGTTGAATGAATTAATGCAACGTTGCATTAAATTGACTCTCACGCCCCCTACTGGCCGAACATTATTGCAAGCGAACCCCATAGAGTTATGTCCCTTGGAGCGCTCTTTAAAGCTCTTTATTTCACCATGGCTCTTTGGCCTTGCAACATAATTCAATCAATGTACAATTCTCTGCACTGTAAACATCATCTGCAAAGACCACTAGATTATTGAAGTTGAAATTTCAACAGTTTGTTTCCACAAATGATGACAACCCCATGGTGGTTAGAATTTTATTTTGCATATGTCCTTAAGACCACAGGACCTGTGAAGATCCGGGTTAGAACTGGTCTTCAGTAACCCATGATTGTTGTAAGAGGTGACTAACGGGATAGAGTGGTCAGGCTCGCTGACTTGGTTGACACATGTCATCATATCTCAGTTGCGCAGATTGATGCTCATGCTGTTGATCACTGGATTGTCTGGTCCAGACCTGATTATTTACACAGCAAAACCATATATAGCTGGAATATTGCTGAGTTGTAAACAACAAATTGTATGGTCCCCAGGGAGTTGAGTTCTGCAATTACTTGAAGACACTATTCTATTTGTATTATTGTATATACATGTACTTTTGCTGAATTGCAAAATAGTTTGTGCATGTTAACTTAAGGAATAATAATGATGATAATATAACCACAGTGTCTAACTGCATCCAAGTGAGTTTTGGTTTGGTTTTGGTCAGTTTGTACATGTAGCTTGTAGGGGTGAAATGGTATACCACAGTATTAATAGAACTGCAGTATTTTGCTTTAGGTTTGGTATACCGTAATGCAATCCAAAAATTCGGTATTTTCGGTTTTTACCATCATTTTATTTATCTGTTTAAACCTTTTTGTAGAAATTGAATCATTTTGTCAAAATCTATGCATTTCTTTGCTTGACGGCCACTATTTTCCTGGAAGTAAATTCTCATATATTATACTGTACTGAAATGGATCAGAACCAAAGGTCTTGTACTGGTGGAAACACAATACGAATCACAAGTTTTCGACATGGTGGTAAGAGTGTACCATTTCACCCCTAGTAGCTTGAGTAACATTCGGTTTCAGGCAGGTTGTGTTATTTAATGTTTTTGAAAATCATTAAACCCACAAGTGTTTGAGCAATGAAGTTTTAACATTGTGAAGGTGATACATTATCATTATCTTAGTATTTGAGAAAACAGCCTGTAGTGTCAAGGATATGGGTGCATAGGACCTTGCTTGTTCATTTATCAAAAGTTATGGACCTTTGGCGTGTCAGGATGCCATACATATGTTGTGCAGTCACAACAGTTTTCATCACAGTTGGCAGGTTTCATTGTCAGTGAGGCAACTAATTTAGTGCGGATGCACTAATGAATGCAAAGCAAAAAGCAGTGTAGGAAAAACAATATTTATGGATGTCAACTTCTTTACTGTGAATAACGTGATGAAGGAGCAAGCATACACTCGGAATGTTGTGTTATTCACAATAATGAAGTTTACGTCCTTAAATCTTGCTTTTCCTATGCATCCCACTTCTAATTGCCCATCAAAGATTTGAAACAAGCAGTGTGTTGGAGAAACGAACTCTTCATTAAAAAAGAACATGGAAAGTGTTTCAACAATATCAAAGCTATGGATATTTTCTAAGATTCAACTGTTTAATGACGAGTCACAAAAACGATATAGTATATGAACACATATATATTGCTTGTTAATATTCTTATACCTTCTGTACCTGATACCCGTGAAGGTCTGGGTTAGAATGAACCTTTAGTAATCCATGCTTGTTGCAAGAGGCGACTAATGGGATCGGGTGGTCAGGCTCGCTGACTGGGTTGACACATGTCATCGCATCCCAATTGCGTAGATTGATGTTCATGCTGTTGATCCCTGGATTATTTGGTCCAGATCCGATTATTTACAGACCGCCGCCATATATCTGGAATATTGCTGAGTGCGGCATAAAACTCAACTCACTCTACCTGGTCTTGAACTGTTATACAATCTACATGATGTTTGGATGCAATGATGAACTTGAAAAAGTGAATAGAAACAGGTCACACCTGGAGAAGGGTTGAGTTGAGTTGAGTTGCGCTTTACATCACATCAGCAATATTCCAGCCATGTAGCAATGAGACCAAGTCTGCATTCACCCACATTTTAAGTCCAAAGTCCAAATGAGTTTCATGAAAATATATATATATTCATTACATTATTATTTACAAGCAGACCCTGGACTGACTGACTGACTAAGTTTAGTTTTACGCCGCTTTTAGCAATATTCCAACAATATTCACGGCAGGGGACACCAGAAATGGGTTTCACACATTTTGCCCATGTGGGGAATCGAACCCGGATCTTCGGCGTGACGAGCAAACGCTTTAACCACTAGGCTCCCCCACCGCCCCAGCAGACCCTGAAGAAAGGTCCAAGCTTGTTGTGGATAGGCATGCACCTCAACACTATTTTATTTTGTCTTCACCAGGTATTGCCTGGTAACTGTTGTGTTTGTGAATCACCAGTCTTGCATCATGTGTTAGTTTGCGTAATTTGTTTCAGGTGTTTCAGGATTTCAGAATGACATTAGCACTGACTTTGCTACTTGAAAAGGAACAAAGAGAACAGAGCGCAGGAGACCACAGAAGGCTTGAGACATTGTGAAATGGGCTGTCACATAAGGTTCTCATCCTTACAAGACAAATTCTTGAACTGATGGCAACAACTCCTTAATGGCATCAGTTTCACCCGCATTAATTACTCTCTGTATCTGTGAGTAATTCACTCAAAATGCCTCTGTAATATGATCTGTAATATATAATTTGGAAGTATTGGGTATATTTATACAATCAATAAAGTTATTTTTTATCTTTGGAAGAAATTTCTTTGTTTTACTTAATTTAGCATAGTTGTTGAGAGTTAGATCATCCGATGCACCACAACATTGGTAATACATCAGAAATGTCAACAGCCACAGTGTTGTGTAACTAATACTGCACACTTAACTGCCTGACTGAGTTTGGTTTTATGCCGCTTTTAGCAATATTCCAGCAACATCACGGTGGGGACACCAGAAATGGGCTTCATACATTGTACCCATGTGGGTATTAGAACCTGGTTCTTCGGTGTGACGAGCCATCGCTTTAACCACTAGGCTACTCCACCGCCCCTGCACACTTAACAGTTTTATTCATTTGCCAGTGGGAAAAACAATATTCTTAAAGTATTATTTATTTTGTGGCATTTCTGTTATTCACCTGCATGGGATTATATTTCTTCAAAACAAAAAGTTTGAATTTCTATTTCATCAAAATATATCAGCTGTGATGTCTTTAGGAAGAAGTTCATTAAGTCATATATTAATGCCATTCTGCACCCATATGATACAGTCCTATTTTGTTTGGTGTAAAATCGTATGGCCAGATTAATCAATTACAGGTACTATTCCAAAATCAGTGATGAACCTTTGTTATATTTTATGATCTCACCAGGACCAAAAGTCAAATGGGTGTATTGTGGATAGGTGTCTTGTGATTGTGCAAAGTTATCTCCATGCACACTGTGCATTTGAACATGAAACTTTCAGATAATAATAATGATTAGTCCATTTATATTGTGCTAAATCTACACCGACAGCATGCTCATAGCACAGACAGTTCATTATTACTCTGGATAACCCAAGTTGCCTGTGAGGCGCTAGAAGGTTATAGTGACTTATCCCACCAGGTACCCATTTTCTGCTGGGTGAACAGAGGAAGTTTTGAACAAACTCACTTGCCTAAGGTGAGACCACATGTGATTCATTGTGGGGCAGGACTGAAGTCCTAGAAACTCAGGAGTAAAGCTGCCAAACACAGTCACCCATCCAAGGACTCTTTGCACCCATATTGTTTAACTTCAAATGATTTGTGACCTTAGCCCTATGCACAGGACCACGCACCGCCATAATACTGTAAAGCACCGCAGTGGAACTTGTATTTGTTCATTACATTGTCTGGAAAAAACTCTCAAAGACTACCATATGGATGATGATCTCATTTATCTGAGGGCCATTGAAGAACCAGTTTAGAATTGGTCTTCAGCAACCCAAGCTTTGTCGTAAGAGGCGACAAACAGGATCAGTGGTCAGGCTCGCTGACTTGGTTGACATATGATGATATGTCATCATATCCGAATTGCGTAGATAGATTCTCATGATGTTGATCACTGAATTATCTGGTCCAGACTTAATTATTTATAGACCGCAGCTATACAGCTGGAATATTGCTGAGTGGAATCCTAACCAACCAACAAACAAACAATTACCTAAGAATTTTGGAAAGTAAGATCGCTCAGTTGTATGGTGAGGTGAGGTGAAATTGGGTTTAACATCGTGCTTGAGAATATTTCGCTCATATGACGACGTGCATGCGTGTGTATGTGTATGTGCGGCTGCTTGTACTAGCCCAGACTGAAGCTGGTTTTATAGTGCTAGCCCACTGAGATACCATGCCGCAGTGAAGCATGAATACCCCACTCAGACACATTATACCGACTCCGAGCCGACCAGTCCTTGTTGTACCCAGTAATGCCGAGCGCCAGACAGGGACCAACAAGTACCATATTTTAACGTCTTTTGGTATGACGCGGTCGGGGATCGAACCCGCGACCTTCCGCTCTCCGGGCGGACGCTCTAACCACTACACCACGGAGGCGGTGCTCAGTTGTATGATATGCCAAACCTTGAAGAAATCAGGATATCTTCTGTAAAACTTCCGGATTGTTTCCTTGATAATTTATATTGGTAATTGTAGGATATAGTTACGTGTTTCACACATAATCAAACAAAATTTAATCCAAACGATTCCTGGAAGGTATCCAGGATGTTTCCAGAGAGGTGAGATGAAATGTGGTTTAACGTCGTACTTACGAATATTTCGCTCATATGCCAACGTATGTGTGGCTGCTTGTACTAGTTCACTGAGATACCGCCCCTCAGTAAAGCATGAATACCCCACTCAGACACATTATACTGACTCCATAACGACCATTAATGCCGAGCGCCAGGCAGGGACGAGTAAGTACCATATTTTAACGTCTTTTGGTATGACGCGGCCGGTGATCGAACCCGCGACCTTCCGCTCTCCGGAACCACTACACCACGGAGGCGGTCTTCCAGGAGAGGTTTCTTAATACATACATACATACATACTAACATTTGTATAGCGCCGATATCCAGCTCAGCTCAGCTGCTCAAAGGCGCTTTGTTTTTCCCTCGTTCACTGGATGTCAATCTCAACGGCACATCGTATTGTCAATCTCAACTCCCTGGGGAGCATACAACTCTGGGGAGCATACAACGTATCCGGCAGGTTACCTGGAATAAAGAGGAAACCTTCCCTCGTTGTTGTTATAAATATTTTATTCAGTGATACATATCGAATAGAATCATCACCGACATAAAATATAAGACATCACAGGCAGCGAGTATGCTCTGCTGAAAGATCCGATTTCCCAACCTTGACTAAGTTGTATATAAAGGATATGTTTGAATAAATATAAAATTTTATTGTGTGATTCACGTTGAAATCGAATTAACACCAATATGGAACGGTACAGTACATTAAAATATTGGACTCGTTCGAGCGACGAATATATGTTCTTTATTGATCCGTACTCCTCATCCTCATCCGTACTCCTCATCTTCCCAACAGGAGTGGTGTATGATCCCGCCCACAGCAGTTGTAGTCTTGAACGTGTCTTCAGACAACTTAACCTTGGTTCATAGAGTTGTTTCGTGATTTGTTTCCGCTTTTGTCCATTTTGTTTTACGTTTCTGGTTTTGTATGAATCTATTTTCTACAAAATAGTACAACAACATGGATATAGAAAGAAAGATCATGGCTATGATAAGCTTGATGTACACACATATCAGACTACTGTAGATAAATGTGATTGTGAACGTTATTGATTTAAAACATTCTTTCACTGAAAATACTGCCCTGGCTTTGTTGGGAAAGTGTTCACCGAGCATAGCTGAATTCTGAGTTTTCCATAAACCCTCACAAACACCCCAAAACGTTGCCACAAGGTAAATGTAAAGATGGTCGTTTTGTGTTGGGACCCAATTGTACATGCAAACGATCAACGTCATTTGTATAATGGCGGCAATCGTGAAAATGACGTAACGTTTGGTATATGGAGCTAATCGACTGAAGAGCAGACTGATGACGGAAGAACCGCCACCGAAAGCAGCCATTACGTACCCAACGTTCTGAATTCCGATTGGACAACTGACGAACGACTTTGTGAACTCTGTGAAGCAGAATTCCTCGGCGATTGCAAAGTAGCATTGTAGTGGGACGAGGTATTTTAAGTCGGTTTTTATCAGGACAAAGAACCATGAAGAGAGAGATTCCTTGATGGAAGCTTTGGACACTGCTGTGTGCTTTGGAATTGGCGATAAACATATTACAAGTGTACATAATCCAATTATTTCTAGTCCAAGAAATATACTGAATAGTATGTAGATAGTCGTGTGTTCTGGATCAGCAATGAGGTCCTCATCTTCATCCCGCGGGCAGTCATTGCTTCCACAATACATCGTTTCGTTGACCACGGTAACGTTGTATTGGCCTTGATACAACACTGCCGATGATATAAGGTTTCCAATAATATTGCTCAAATTCAAAATGGTATAATATACACCGTTCAGTCTGCTGAGCGTAGCATAAACATGTATCCCAGTCCTTTGAGAGAAGGAGAAGGCGCAAGTTGTCATGTAAATACCTTGCGATGCCCAGAATGGCCCTGCTAATGCTCCAACTAGAAGGGTGCTTGGAAACAGTGTAGCGAAACTGGGGTAGAAGTTGGCGGCGGTGTAGATGAGATGCGTGGTGAAGGAAGTTATTAGCACTGGTTTCGGTCCGAGAATTGTTATAATCATAGGACTCAGGATACAGGATACAATTGATGCCGCGAATAAACAGCTGAGTGAGAACACACCGAGTCCCCCCTCGTCGTTGAGACTTCCTTGCAGGTTATTTATAGACATGTACGACGAGAACAAGCACAGGAACGACACTGCCAGGACTACGACATTGCGAGTCTCCTTCCCCCACACAGGCGAGTGAGGAGGTTCTTCTGTATCCTCTGTGTCACCGTTAGGGACGGAATCAGATGGATTTTCATCTCTCAGTACAGAACCGCCAGTCTTGCTTGAATCACCGACCTCGCTAACTCTCCGTAAAACAATTGGCTTCCCCGTCATGTTTTCATTTGTCCGTTTCATTATCTCCCTTTTGCTATGTTGCGAGAAAGGCCAGGTCACGAATTGAAACACCTAAAAACTCCAACAGGTGACTTTAACGTCTGTCCTGTCGAATCTTGACGCATGCGTATACGTGGGACATCAATGTTTGTTATCGTGACGTCGTATTTGAAGGAAAAACGGATTGCTTCGATGTCAGAAACCGTCACAAATGCTATAGAAGCGGGCAGGTGCATCTGCAATGTTAGCTTGACCTGACAAAGCGGAGATTAAGTGCCTGTGTTTACGTGTGTGAGTTAACGACAAAATCTCAAGGCTCTATCTTGTTTCTGCAGGGTGCCCGGATTTAATCAATTAATGAATCAAAGAATCAAAGAAAGGTACATTTTCATCTGGTTTATGTCATAATTTAGTTTAGTATATTAACCGACCACCAACGTAGTCTCAGAAATGAGCTTATTTTAAGGAATAAGAATATTCCTAAATTAAAGTCCTGTAATATATGACGAAAAGGTCACGACAGAGGACACTCAACGTACATTAGCTTCACATTGTGGGTTCAACGCTTCTTCTGACACAACAGAGATAATAGCAATGAACAGAATAAATTCATCTGTATTTAGGTGTATTACCTGGGTGGGTTTTTCCATCAAGTTTATCAACATGAGTCGACAAATATTTAAAACTCTGAAGCTTATCAACATGAGTCGTCAAATATTTAAAACTCTGAGGCTTCGTGTGTTTGCGCTCGGCATTAATGACCTATTTTTGTCGCTCCGCGACGCTTAGAAACAGGTGTCACGGTGAGGGATGTCAGTGTATACATCGAGGGCAGACACGCTGAATCGATTGTTGCAAAGTTATAAAACTTCATATGACCGTATATTCGATTCCAGCCACGTTGGCCATAGAGCGGTGTGTCCCTACAAATCACCACGAACCGCCTCCGTGGTGTAGTGGTGATTTCGAATGCATTTTACAACCTCTAAAACTATTCTTACAAGCGTACATCATCCGCCCGGAGAGCGGAAGGTCGCGGGTTCGATCCCCGACCGCGTCATACCAAAAGATTATTAAAATATGGTACTTGATTTTGGTCCCTGCCTGGCGCTCGGCATTAATGGGTACAACAAGGACTGGTCGGTTACATCCCTTTCCTTTTATATAGTTGGAGTCAGTATAATGTGTCTGAGTGGGTATTCCTGTATTTAACTGCGGCATGGTATCTCAGTGAGTTAGCATTTTGTTGTGTTTTTATAAAACCAGCTTAAGTCTGGGTTAGTACAAGCAGCCACACATACCCACGCATGGGCGTCGTCATATGAGCGAAATATTCTTAAGTGCGACCTTAAACCCCATTTCACCCCACCTCACCTTACGCCACGAGGATCATTCTCATTCCACTCACATACAGTTGATTGTCACTCACTAGTACGACATACATTGTGATGTAACATAAGCTATTCAGATAACGTTACTGCCAATAACAGTTATGGCGACGTCCAAAATGTTATAATGTTTTCTCACATCTTTTCAAATTTATCCTGTGTTTCGCTGACTGTATCAGTCAATGCACGTATTTACGTGCGGAACGGAACACATTTGACGCGATGCATCACTACTGCTTATAAAACTGTGTGTTCGTCAAATTACATTATTACACATATAATGTAATTATTACAATTACATTATTTTCCCAAAGATGTTTGGGGCGGCGGGGTAGCCTGTTGGTTAAAGCGTTTGCTCGTCACGCCGAAGACCGGGTTCGATTTCCCACAGGGTTACAATGTGTGAAGCCCAATCCTGGTGTTCCCTGCCATGATATTGCTGGAATATTGCTAAATGCGGCGTAAAACTAAACTCACTAACTCAGAAAGATATTAAATCAAGACAGGTATGTTTAAAACAATATGACGATATTGGTTTTAATTAAAGTTCTTGCTATATATTTTTAATCGTGTTATTCACCACTATAGATGATGGTACACGTACGTACTGAATTTGACAAAATGTCTTTCCACAGTTGATGAGCGCAGTCTTCTGAAAACGCGATGGACAGTCAGATTGGGTTTTCATCTCATAATTGTGACACATTTTCTGACACATGCTTATATATTTTGAGGTTTTGTTAGAAAAAACAACAAACAACTTAAGGTGGATCTTTAAAACACATATACCAAAAATGAAATGTCACAGACAACTGTAGAAACACGTGAACTAAAATACAATTACCATTAAACCCACCAGCCCATTCAGACAAACTTACAATGAAAATTAAAGTAACCGTCATTTATCACAAATGTACAATTTAATCAATTTCCATTATTTCAGTGGTTTTATCAGCTTTCAGATATTTCTGTTTGCGAATGAAACGAACCTCTACAAAATAGTATAAAAGTAATCCTATAGTTAAAAAACATATAGTTATAATTACCTTTGTGTATACACACATTAAACTACTGTAGCCAATTGCCGCTGTGAAGGCGATAGATTTGAAGCCCTCTGACACAGCGAATACGGAATTCAGGTACCCAGGGAAATGTTCCCCCAGCATGGCATTTATCTGTGTTTTCCACACCCCGTCACCCAGCCCCCAGAAAGCTAGTAAAACATATATAATGATTGTGTCCTTTTCTGTGGGCACCCAATGGCACATCCAGATGAATATTGCCAGCTGTTCCGCTCCGGCCACGCCACAAAGTATATGCCGCTTCGTGTACTTAGTGACCCTACTGAGCACAAAGCTGGAAAGTGATGTACTGATTCCATAAACCATCATCACGTAACCCACGTTTTCTATTCCGATCGGACAACTTATATAGGATTTAGTCACCTCTACAAAGCATACCTCCTCGGCAATGGCCAGGTAGCAGGTAAATGGGATTAAATATTTCATGTCTGTTTTCTGTAATACTTTGAACCAGGACAAAAGTGATTCTTTCACCGATATATCTCCCTTTTTGAACTGGGACTCGATGGGAGAGAGGAACATGATGACTATTCCGATCCCTGCTGCTACAAAAACAAGGAATATGCTCAGCAGGATGTACACAATGTAGAATTCAGGGTCAGCGATTTTATCTTGTGTTTCTGAATCAGGGCAGTCGTTTACTCCACAGAAGGCTGACGAATTTCCCACCGTTATGTTGTACTCGCTTTGATAGAGGACAAACGACGACACGAGGTTTCCGATAATGTTTGACAGGTCAAATATAGCCCAGAAAATCCCGTTAAACCTACTGAGCGAGGCGTACATTTGGGTCCCGGTTCGCTGGGAATAGGACACTGCACACACTGTCATGTAAATGCCTTGACAAGACCACAAGGGCCCCGTGACAATCCCGATGATGACGGATGACGGAATGAGGGTTGCGAAGGAGGGGTAGAAGTTGGACGCCGTGTAGATGAGGTGACCGATGAAGGAGTACATAATCACTCTCTTGACACCAAGCTGTGTCACTATCAGCGGGGCCAGAATACCCGACAGGATGGAAGCCCCGTACAACACGCCAAGTGATATGACTCCCAAACTTTCTTCATCGTTGAGACTTCCTTGCAAGTTCTGTATAGCCATGTACGATGTAAATACCGACAGAAACGAAATCGATAAAAATACTGCATTCTTTGTCTCTTTTCCCGCGATGGCGGATTGCTTGATCTCAACTTTCACAGTGTCGCTTCCAGATAATAGGGTGTCTCCTCCATTTTCGATTTCCTTTAAATGTGAAACTGTGTCTTCCGCATCTCCAACAATAAGTGATGCATTTACCTTGTCGTGGGGGATTGTCGACTTTATCCTCTCTGTCAGAAATTGAAATGTCACCATCTCCCTGAGCTGCAGGTGCGACATGGGGATCTTTATGCTGACTTTCAGCTCCGTTTTCTTCCATGTTGTAGGTTATGTAGGCGCTATACGACCCTTCTCTTGTTACCGATACAGGGAAACACGTGGTTTGTTGTAAGAGTTATGTAGTTGAGAGGTATAGGTCTTGTGGTTACATTGGCACGATATCGCGTCAAAAATGTCGGTCAAGTCGAGGTCCAGGTAGATAGCCTGTTTTGTGACATGACTAACTGGTCGACCACATTGTGTAAGAAACACGTTCCAAACACATCGTATAATTTTCATGAGGAGCATCGCGTTGTCGAACAAACTGCCGGTCACAACTGGGCCGCTTACGCAAGCAACACGTTACACCATTTACACACCACGGCTATTTTCTTTCGACATTTCACAATACACAGCTGGCGTATTCACCGAGGCGAAGAGAAAACGATGTACGTGAGCTGGGCCGCTTACGCAAGTAACACGTTACACCATGTATACAACACGGCTAATTCCACGTTGACATTTCACAATATACAGCTGGCGTTCTCACCGAAGCGAAGAGAAAACGATGTACGTGAGCTTTGTGTCGATCCGCCATGCAGTACTGACGAAAGAATATTTCGTAGGCGCATCACGTTGTAGTAACGCCGTTCACAGGTGGAGTGAAACATATGGCTTGCCTGTGACACGAATATGTGGTCGATGTGACAGTGGTGGTTTGTTTCCGTGTAGGCCGGACGGTGGATAGATGGACACAAGAAATAATACCTTAATAGTAGGCTCTGCAAATCTAGCTGCTTCGTCCCCGTTGCACGATCTGCTCAACTGTGGAAATAACAGTGGAAAAACCGACACTTTGTTTCCATGTGGAGCCCACGCTAATAAGTCTACACACAAATGGTTGTTTTATGTGGGTTAACGAGTTCAAGTCCCAATAGCTCATGGATTTATTAACGTGTAAAAAAGAATAATTCGGGTCAGCTGTTGTCCGAATACACATTTAGTTCTAAAGGCCAACTGCTATAAAACCAAGACATGTATAACATAATTACTGACTGACTGACTGGCTGACTGAGTTTGGTTTTACGCCGCTTTTAGCAATATTCCAGCAACATCACGGCGGGGGACACCAGAAATGGGCTTCACACATTGTACCCATGTGGGGATTCGAACCCGGGTCTTCGGCGTGACGAGCCAACGCTTTAGCCACTAGGCTACCCCACCGCCCCATAACATAATTACAATATTTATATCAGTAATATGCTTATTCGTAATCCACCTCATCACTGCATTGTGTAATGGTAGTCAGGCACGTCGTATCGCTGTCACTTTCATAAAGAATTGTTATTCATATTCTGCCATGCATAGCCGTGATCGAATACACCACCGACTCTCAAGCGCAAGGTCACTGTCTCTTTATTTGCCCATTATTGTGCATTTCAATACAAATGTTAAACTGGAGCTTCGCTCACTTCATTTATGTTTGAACCGGCCGCTCACTGCCGTCTTTGTGATGTTTGAGTGTGTTTGATGTGCAGCTCGTAGAATACGTCCATAGGATAACGTAGAGCTCTGCTCTCCTCATTTACGTGTGAACCGGCCACTCACTGCCGTCCTTGTGATGTTTGAGCGTGTTTGATGTGCAGCTCGTAGAATACGTCCATAGGATAACGTAGAGCTCTGCTCTCCTCATTTAGGTCTGAACCGGCCGCTCACTGCCGTCCTTGTGATGTTTGAGCGTGTTTGATGTGCAGCTCGTAGAATACGTCCATAGGATAACGTAGAGCTCTGCTCTCCTCATTTAGGTCTGAACCGGCCGCTCACTGCCGTCCTTGTGATGTTTGAGCGTGTTTGATGTGCAGCTCGTAGAATACGTCCATAGGATAACGTAGAGCTCTGCTCTCCTCATTTACGTGTGAACCGGCCACTCACTGCCGTCCTATATATAAAGTGATCAAAAGAAGATTTTTACATATATAACAGGTCCAGATCTGTCCTATTTAAGTCATACTCTGTGTGTGTGTGTGTGTGTGCGTGTGCTGCAATACCATTGTTTATGTATTTTATTTGTTTAAGCAGCCTGTCTGTTTATGGATGAGAGGGTAAATGGGAGAAGACTGACGTGCAAGGGTTAGGGAGTGGATGGGGTCAGTGACTGCAAGTGTGTGTGTGTGTGTATTTTATTTGTTTAAGCAGTCTGACTGTTGAATGAGAAGGAGAGAGATTGGTGTCGTGGCAATTGGATGTGTGTGGGTGGTATTGAATGTAAAGTAATGTAAGAAATTGTTCATATGGGGGTGTTATGCAGTAAGGTATTATCTACAGATCCGTTACTGTGTGCATGGGGGTTGTTTGTGCCACTGGATGGTTGTTACATTATGTGTGTTGACTAGATACGTGCCATTTTAACATCATCATGGTTTTTATTCTTGTCTTATTGTGTCTCATAGGCCTAAAGAGGGCCGGACTCTGTATCAGGGTGTGACAAGTACACTGTAATAAACAATTTTTCTTCTTCTTCTTTCTTCTTCTTCTTCTTCCTCATTTATGTTTGAACCGGGCCCTCACTGCTGTCCTTTAGCTTGTATTACGCAGATTGTCGTTTATTATTTAAAACGTTCCAGAACAGTGAAGGCAATGCTCTGCTCGTTTACCTGAAGTAATAGTTCATCTGACGCCTGCGGAGATATACGCGTTGACAAATGTACAAAAATACAACTATCACCAGTAATTAACATAACAATACTGTCAGCAGCTGTTGACTGCGGAGTAGACTCAGAGTTAACGAGAAAAACGTTAAGACATAAACACGGCGGCAACACAGGATCCTGTCTCCTTTACAATAGCAAACACATTAATAAACATTTAAAGGATTTGCCCAATACAGATATGTTTAAACGAATGTGAAGTGAACAATAATGAAATCGCCTGTTATGGACATCTATGAAATCACGCCCTTTACTTGCTAAATCTGGTAAACTATCTGCGTTATCATCTGCGATAAAATCTGCAAAGCTGCCTATTGAGTCCACATGCAGTTACCTCCCCTACTGTGTTCATTCACGCTAATGTAATTTGCGCAGTAGACTGTTCAGGGCCAACAATTTATCACGGAACAGCTTATGGTAAATGAATAAATATACCCAGTACTCAATTGTCACGGACAACTGAAAAATAACATTTATATGTACAGATATTGGACTCACTTTTGATTGATTTTTGTGTTTTTTAAAAATATTTTACTGTGCACTCAGCAATTTGTCGACAACATGACCAGACAAACCAGTTATGAGTACCGATGATGGGGTACGATGACACACAAGCAACTAGATCACTTATTACGACTAGCATACATGAAGGTCTAACCCTGGAATCCAACTGTAATGTGTTGGCACTTATGGAATTCTGTCCCATCTTATGTCCGTTTTATAGATCGTTCAATGTGTACGATAGAATGGAGGAATTGAGTGAGTTTAGTTTTGCGCCGCAGTCAGCAATATTCCAGCTATATGGCGGCGGTCTGTAAATAATCGAGTCTGGACCAGGCAATCCAGTGATCACCAACAGGAGCATCGATCTGCGCAATTGGGAACCGATGACATGTGTCAACCAAATCAGCGAGCCTGACCACTCGATCCCGTTAGTCGCCACTTACGAGAATGGAGGAAACACCTTAGAACATTTGTGACATTTTCGAGTGTAGACCGCCTCCGTCATGTAGTGGTTAGAGGGTCCGCCCGGAGAGCGGAAGGTCGCGGGTTCATACCACAAAACGTTAAAATACGGTACTTGTTGGTCCGCTCGGCATTAATGGGTATAACAGGGACTCGTCGGCTCGGAGTCAGTGTAGTGTGTCTGAGTGGGGTGTTCATGCTTAACTGTGGCATGGTATCTCAGTGGGCTAGCACCAGTCTTAAGTCTGGGCTAGTAGGAGCAGCCACACATACACTTGCATGCACGTCGTCATATGAGCGAAATATTCTGTCCTGGAATATTGCAAAAGAGAATGTTCATTCAAGCTTGACTGGTATATGACTGAAGTAGAAAAACACCTCACCACTGCAATGTATATTAATGTGTGTCCATTAACCTTGACGAGTCATGCCAAGACCATAGCAACACCTGTTTCCCCTCTAGAGATTCATTTATAATGCTTATTGATTATATGACATGTCAGTAGAGGTACATTTGTAGCGTATTGCTGCATGTTGATTCCCAGGTTCAAACAGAAATCGGTTCGCTCACACTTAAACTGAAACTACGAAACCACCGTTACAGATCAATGAATAATGTGGAACTTTATTGAAACACAAAGGGTTAAGTTTACAATCGTGCAAGCGTTTAAAGGATTAAGACTCTGGTTTTCTACCGCTCAGACATCGCAAGGACGGCAGTGAGCGGCCGGTTCAAACATAAATGAGGTTAGCGGAGCTCCAGGTTATCCTATGAGCGTATTCTTATCCTATGAGCGTATTCAGACATACATGAGGAGAGCTGCACATCAATTCTACACGCTCAAACACCTATAATGAAATGGACAATAATGGGCAAATGAAGAGACAATGACCTTGTGCTTGAGAGTCGGTGGTGTATTCGATCTATGGCTGTTCATGGCAGAATATAAATAGTGACAGGGTTCCTGCCTATACATACATTGCAGTAGTGACTGACCGGTGGATTACGCTTTTAGCATATTACTGATTACTTTAACAATTATATTAGACATGCCCTGGCTTTATAGGATTTGGACTTTAGAATTGAATTTGTATTGGGAACAATAGCTGACCCAAATTAATCATTTTGACACGTTATAATAAAACCATGAATCCGTTAACCCCCATGGAACAACCAGTTGCGTTCAGACGTATCAGCGAGGCTCCACATGGAAACAAAGTGTCCTTTTTACCACCGTTATTTCAACAAATATAGACATTCTCAGGCAACATAAGTGAAAAACTGTACAGGACGTTCAAGCTGCTTGGACAAGCTGCTATCTGAGAAACAACCATCCATTAATGTCAATTAGCCAGTGTAAAATTTGCCAGTGCGTGCAATTCAATGTTAATGAAAGAATACTGTGTGAAATGAAGGGTGTAGATAAACATTCCAGTCACAGGCAATTCATTCTTTACATCCCATTCAATCAAAGTAAGCCCCTGCCTGAATTTATTATAGCCAGTGTTTAGTATTCTACCATTCTAACCAAATAATCATGCAAACTTTCATAAAAAACAATTCACAGGATTCCAAAAAACCCCATCAAACATCCATTTCACATGGCCATGTAAAGTTCATAACAGTCAAAATACACAAAAGAAATCTTCAAGCTTTGCGTAGTGTAACAAAGTCACACGCATGCTGACATCAATTAACGACAATCAAAAAGTCTTGTGCGCACATCCAAAATGTCCAATAATGTGATATTCAAGAATCACATGCTGACATCAAAGAACGATAATCAAAAACTCTTGCTCGGACATCCACAATGTCCAATAATGTGATACTCAAGAATCACATGCTGACATCAAAGAACGATAATCAAAAGTCTTGCGCGGACACCCACAATGTCCAATAATGTGATATTCAAGAATCACATGCTGACATCAAGAACGATAATCAAAAAGTCTTGCGCGGACACCCACAATGTCCAATAATGTGATACTCAAGAATCACATGCTGACATCAAGAACGATACTCAAAACGTCTCGCGCGGACATCCACAATGTCAATAATGTGATACTCAAGAATCACATGCTGACATCAAGAACGATAATCAAAAAGTCTTGCGCGGACACCCACGATGTCCAATAATGTGATATTCAAGAATCACATGCTGACATCAAGAACGATAATCAAAAAGTCTTGCGCGGACACCCACAATGTCCAATAATGTGATATTCAAGAATCACATGCTGACATCAAGAACGATAATCAAAAGTCTTGCGGACACCCACAATGTCCAATAATGTGATATTCAAGAATCACATGCTGACATCAAGAACGATAATCAAAAGTCTTGCGCGGACACCCACAATGTCCAATAATGTGATATTCAAGAATCACATGCTGACATCAAGAACGATAATCAAAAGTCTTGCGCGGACATCCACGATGTCGAATAATGTGATATTCAAGAATCACATGCTGACATCAGGAACGATAATCAAAAAGTCTTGCGCGGACACCCATAATGTCCAATAATGTGATACTCAAGAATCACATGCTGACATCAAGAACGATAATCAATCAGTCTTGCGCGGACACCCACAATGTCCAATAATGTGATATTCAAGAATCACATGCTGACATCAAGAACGATAATCAAAAAGTCTTGCGCGGACATCCACAATGTCCAATAATGTGATACTCAAGAATCACATGCTGACATCAAGGAACGATAATCAAAAGTCTTGCGCGGACATCCACAATGTCGAATAATGTGATATTCAAGAATCACATGCTGACATCAAGAACGATAATCAAAAAGTCTTTTGTGGACATCCCACAATGTCCAATAATGTGATACTCAAGAATCACATGCTGACATCAAAGAACGATAATCAAAAGCTTCATGCTGACATCTATATCACCAAAAGTCATCATTAAGTCATTTTCTTGACACAAAAACAACGCAATAATGCAAGTGTGCACACGATGCCGGCAATGTCAGAATCTCACATGTGATACGGGCCCCATGACCTTATCGAAGGTCTTGTGAACACAAGAGGAGACACGGTGCCTGGGATGTTCCATCGATGTTCCACCTGCTGCAGCTGCTGTATCGTGGCCACATGGAGTCCCATGACATTATCCATTGGTCGTTTCAAAAACACATCAGCCCTACGTTGGGCGCCATTTTGTCGTAAGAACTACAAAGTCCATTCAGGCTGATGTATTTTATTGGGTGAATGACCTGCTGATCACAACAAATGGTACAGTTGTTGCCTGACATGGTGTGTCTCGACACACACAATATAAATGTTGATCAATTATTAAATACTCAATATATATTCTAGAGAATACATTGTATTTTAAACAATTCATTTTATCACTGGCAGTTTCCTCATAACATTATTTAATATTATGTTGAATACACCTCATACCTGAGAAATAAATACCTTTTGCATAATTAAATAAAACAATCCTTCCAAATTCACAACATACCTGTGGATCATAACAACATGGTATAGTTGTCGCCTGACATGGTGTGTGCTTGGCCTCTGACACATGTAGTTTTTATAGAGAGCAGTTATACCAACATCAGTGAGAGTGCTGGAAAGTATGGTGCAGTGTTAGTGACAAACACATTTTAACCTGTGACACACAGTTGAGCAGATCGTGCAACAGGGACGAGACATATTTGCAGAGCCTACTATTCAGGTATTATTTCTTGTGTTCATCTATCAATCGTCCTGCTCACACGGAAACAATTAAACTACCACTGTCACATCGACCACATATTCGTGTCACAGGCAAGCCATATGTTTCACTCCGCCTGTGAACTGCGTCACGACAACGTGATGCACCTTGGGAATATTCTTTCATCAGTATTGAAATGGCGCGGCGGACTGACACAAAGCTCAGGTACATCGTTTTCTCTTCCCCTCGGTGAGAACGCCAGCTGTATATTGTGAAATGTCGACGTGAAAATAGCCGTGGTGTATACATGGTGTAACGTGTTGCTTGCGTTTACAATTAAGCGGCCCAGTTGTGACCGGCAGTTAGTTCGACAACGCGATGTTCCTCGTGAAAATTATACGAGATGTTTGGGACGTGTTTCTAACGCAATGTGGATGACCAGTTACTCATGCCACAAAACAGGCTATCTACCTGGAACTCGAAGCCTTGACCAACATTTTTGACGCGATATCGTAATTTAACCACAGGACCTATACTTCTTTACTACGTAACTCTAACAACGAACCACGTGTTTCCCTGTATACGTAACAAAAGATGTTTTCGAAGGGTCGTGGAGCGCCTACTTAACCTACAACATGGAAGAAAACGGAGCTGAAAGTCAGCATGAACCTCCCCATGTCGCACCTGCAGCTCAGGGAGATGGTGACATTTTAAATTCTGACAGAGAGGATAAAATCGACAACTACCTCGAAAAGTAAATGCCTCACTTATTGTTGGAGTTGCGGACGATACAGTTTCACATTTAAAGGAAATCGGAAATAGAGGACACCCTTTACTATCTGGTAACGACACTGTGAAAGTTGAGATCAAGCAATCCACCGTGGCGGGAATAGAGACAAAGAATGCAGTATTTTTATCAATTTCGTTTCTGTCGGTATTTACATCGTACATGGCTATACAGAACTTGCAAGGAAGTCTCAACGATGAAGAAAGTTTGGGAGTCATATCACTGGGCGTGTTATCCGGGGCTTCTATCCTGTCGGGTATTCTGGCCCCGCTGATAGTGACACAGCTTGGTGTCAAGAGAGTGATTATGTACTCCTTCATCGGTCACCTCATCTACACGGCGTCCAACTTCTACCCCTCCTTCGCAACCCTCATTCCGTCATCCGTCATCATCGGGATTGTCACGGGGCCCTTGTGGTCTTGTCAAGGCATTTATATGACAGTGTGTGCAGTGTCCTATTCCCAGCGAACCGGGACCCAAATGTACGCCTCGCTCAGTAGGTTTAACGGGATTTTCTGGGCTATATTTGACCTGTCAAGCATTATCGGAAACCTCGTGTCATCCTTTGTCCTCTATCAAAGCGAGTACAACATAACGGTGGGGAACTCGTCAGCCTTCTGTGGAGTAAACGACTGCCCTGATTCAGAAACACAAGATAAAATCGCTGACCCTGAGTTCTACATTGTGTACATCCTGCTGAGCATATTCCTTGTTTTGTAGCAGCAGGGATCGGAATAGTCATCATGTTCCTCTCTCCCATCGAGTCCCAATTCCAAAGGGGAGATATATCGGTGAAAGAATCACTTTTGTCCTGGTTCAAAGTATTACAGAAAACAGACATGAAATATTTAATCCCATTTACCTGCTACCTGGCCATTGCAGAAGAGGTTTGCGTTGTAGAGGTGACTAAATCCTATATAAGTTGTCCGATCGGAATAGAAAACGTGGGTTACGTGATGATGGTTTATGGAATCAGTACATCACTTTCCAGCTTTGTGCTCAGTAGGGTCACTAAGTACACGAAGCGACATATACTTTGTGGCGTGGCCGGAGCGGAACAGCTGGCAATATTCATCTGGATGTGCCACTGGGTGCCCACAGAAAAGGACACAATCATTATATATGTTTTACTAGCTTTCTGGGGGCTGGGTGACGGGGTGTGGAAAACACAGATAAATGCCATGCTGGGGGAACATTTCCCTGGGTACCTGAATTCCGTATTCGCTGTATCAGAGGGCTTCAAATCTATCGCCTTCACAGCGGCAATTGGCTACAGTAGTTTAATGTGTGTATACACAAAGGTAATTATAACTATATGTTTTTTATCTATAGGATTACTTTTATACTATTTTGTTGAGTTTCGTTTCATTCGCAAACAGAAATATCTGAAAGCTGATAAAACCACTGAAATAATGGAAATTGATTAAATTGTACATACATAGTGTGATATATGGCTGTGTAAATTTAATTTTCTTTGTAACAGTTTGTCTGTATGGGCTGGTGGGTGTAATGGTAATAGTAATTAAATATATATCTTACTTCAAATCACGATAAATACGCCAAATTCACTTGTTTGTTGGATTATATATATATATATATCATTCACACTTCACAATAAACAAGATGTCTGCAGTTGAAAAAATATGTCATGCGAGCGGTGAAGAATTTTCCGTTGGATAAATGAAATGACAAGAGGTGATATTTACGTCTAGGATCTATTAAGTGATTATTCTTTTCAATAACCACGCTCTGCACTCTCCTACCCAGAGTTCCATGCGGCAAGCCAGCATAGTACCTCTGCCACAGGCCAGAAAAATGTGACGATTCGTCACATCTTGCAATGTCCATTCAATATAATGTACAGATTTCTTTACTCTTTTTATTTTTGACGAGTCTACACATCTAACTAAACATCTTTAATAGAATGGTTTAGTTTCACTGAGGAAATATCCAAAACAGGTAATACTATTTCGATTTGCGTAGCGATCCTTTGTTTACATAGGATGTACGGCTCCACGTGCTGTCATCGAAGCCGACGGAGAGCAAACGATGCAGCCAGTTTGATATCTAAATATGTACTGTCATAGACCTAACTGTCGCAGTTGTGGAAGAATATATATGTAACAATGTAAAACATTATGAAGAGAGCGCCGAAAAGCTTTCGTGAGTCCAGTCTCTTCTTATTATGAATATGCGCGTTTGATTACAAACAAGAGAAAAGTCCGGTCACGTGATATGCAAATTAGCCTGTGGCAGTGATGTTATGTTAAGTCATCGCTGTGCCGGAGTGTGCACGCTCTGCTACCATTGTTGATTTCACTTGCGTCTTTATTCTTCTTACCACTCTGAAACGTTCTGTCATACCGGCTGGCCCAAGTTCACACATGTGCTATGTTTTGCACGAGAATTTCCAGCAGTCCCACTTCCATGCGCAGAGGGGCACCAGCCTAGCAGACGATACATTATGTCAACACCTGGCCAATGCCTTCCATTCTGTGAAGTTGTTGAGCTCCTGATTCTTGGTTTTGGTATATTAATGTTGCCTGTATATTCTGCTTTTACCATATATGAATTGTATTGTTTAATTTATTTCATAAGGAAATGGTCATTTGTAGTGCTATAAACTTTATTTATAAATAATGTTAGATTATGTGTTGTATGTTGTGCTATTTAAAGTTGCTTATTGTAGTGCTATAAACTTTTTATGTATATATTATGTTTTATGAATTATATTGTATTAATTGAATTGTATTATTTATTATGTAGACAATAGAAATGTCCCAATGAATGCTTAAATAAAAATGACATTTTACAGCGTGATTCTTGTCCAGTTATTTTCCGGTGAACATTTTCGCATTAACCATACCGTTGTAAAAAACATTGACTGCCCATTGAATCAGTGGACCTTAAAGATATACCCCTTCAAACCGACCAGTTTGTTATTACACCCACCCAAAGATCGAATTACGGGACCTAACCGGGACCACCTAACCACTGAAACACAAAGGGTTAAGTTTACAATCATGCAAGCTGTTTTGTTTTGTTTGCAAAATATAATAAGTGGAACATTGCTGTAGCGTGTGTAGATATTTATTAACAGTAAAACTGTAACTAACAATCAAAACACCTTTAAAAATATTTACGATGTTGTCTTTTTAAAAATCTGAAAACACCAGGTGTGCACCTTCTTTTTCTACGTCAGTTTAGGTTCGTCTCATAATTGATCTGTCTCGTTCGATGAACAACAAGAAAACCTGTGCTAAAATGAGGACAAATTGTGGATTCCAGTCTCATGAGCAATGATCATACTTTTGTGGCATGCCAAAAGAATGAAATTCTCCATAGTAAATTGCGTTGCCTAAAATGCCTAGGCAACCATACCAAACCTAAACTTATTTTGCAAACTGAATTTTCATGAATGTAAAAGTGGATAAAAAGGCACAGAATTGACACTATAAATCACTTTCGAACGCAGTTGTATCTATTGTCATTTTTTTTCACTCAATGTTCTATTTTCAACTGTCATGCACAATGCGCCGTCTATTTTAGATATTTGAACTCGTATCAAAGCTCGCATGGTTACATTCTTCAGGAATCCGCAGTTTCGAATTTAGCAGCCTCTTCAGTGTCGTCTTCAGACGTCCTTTTAGGCGATTTTCTCAGATATCTGACTTCAACCACAGCATAGAGCGTCATTCCCAGAACTAGGAAGGTCATTGCGATTATAAGTTTGACAGACACACACAACATACTACTGTATACAAAGGTACATGTAAATGCTATAGCTTTGAAACCCTCATATACTGCAAATGCTGCCTGCTTGTTGTCTTGAAATATTTCCCCTAAAACAGAGTTGGTCTGGGTTTTCCATATTCCTTCTGAAACTCCCCACACTGAAGAAATAACATAGACGAGATGAATGTCATGGTGAGACGGAACCCAGTGATACAACCACAACATCAGCGCCATCTGGAGAACAGAAGCGAAGCCCAGTAACACATATCGTCGTGTATATCTAGCTATTTTGCTGAACAGGAAACTGCTTGCTGCAGAACAAACCCCGTACCCTGTCATCACGTACCCCACGTTTTGTATCCCGAAAGGGCAGCTGACGTATGACTTTGTTAGTTCAGTGAAGACCACAACCTGCTCTATTGCTGTGTATAATAAAAATGGAAGCAGGAACTTGATGTCAGTCTTAATGATGAGTCTGAACCAGGACCACAGTGATTTTCTGATGGTGTTCTTGTTGGCTGGCGTCTGATTTTGTATCGGTTGAAGGAATATACTCACGACTCCTAGACCCATGGCGACACTTCCCAGGAACACACCTAGAAGTATGTAAACCACAGTTGGCTCGGGGTCGGCGATAATATCAACTGTTTCTTCTTGTGGACAATCATTAGGTCCACAGAAGGAAGAGGAGTTTATGTTGGTGCTGTTATACTGACCTTGATAAAGAACAAGGGACGATAGTACGTTGCCCACGATATTACAAAGTTCAAACATACCGAAGAAGATCCCGTTTGTTCTGCTTGAGAGAGAAGTGGTTAGTTCAATACCCGTCCGCTCACTAGCTGAAAAGCACATGATGTCAGGTACATGCCTAGTGATGTCCATAACGGCCCCGTGACTGCTCCAAGAATGATTGACGAAGGAATAAGTGTTGCGAATGAAGGGTAAAAGTTGGACGCAACGTAAATCAGATGTCCTGAAAAAGCAATCATCATAGATCGTTTGATCCCAATAACAGTGATACACGTGGGAGCATAGATGGCCGACAAAATGGCGGCTCCGTAAAGACAACTAAGGGAGAGAACTCCCAAACCACCTTCATCGTTCAGACTTCCTTGTAGATTTTGTAGCGACAGATATGACGAGAACACAAACAGGAATCCTAGTCCAAGGACGATCGTGTTCTTTGTTTCCTTCCCAGACAGTGGCGATGGGGGCTCTTCAGTCTCTACTTGAGACGTGTTGGTTTCAATCTCCATTGTATATGTACCAAGCGTGAACTATTCGAACTTCCTGGTTTCACGAAAGGTTTGCACACTTTAAGTTTCCCACAGCGTGTTTTATCAGTCTGACATGGCCGACAGTGAACGACGCATCATGTCCTACATTGGCGATCCGGGACTTTCTTATCTTGATCTGCAGGTAAGCTTTATGAAGGTGTGTGGTGTGTTGGGTACACAATGGCCACGTGCAGTCGAACGCGTCACATGTCCAAAACCGCAGGAAAACATTACACATATTTTCTGCATAACACACCGATGAGAGGGACACCGACTGGTTCACGCAGTCGTACCATATCCCAACTCGTTCATGATAACCGATATACTAACTGTATGTATACCTATTGCTGACCGAAGCTGCATCGTTAAGAATGAAGTCAGTTATCTTTAAACAAAATAGGTATAATGTATGGCAGCTGTATTTCTTCTTTCTTCTGTCCTGCGGCTGCCTCTCAACTATCAAATAATAAGAGTTATACGTGCTACCTGTATCTGACGCACAGGTAATTCACGAGCTTTTGCCTGTGACGTCAGGACCATTTGAACTCACTTTCTATTGTCACCTGTCAGCCTCAGACGACGGCAGACAGATATCAACTTTTCATATTGTTGATGTTTCTAATTACAGGTAAGCACTCTCCTTATATGTTCATTTTACATCTACCTTTAGTTGCTAGTATAATCCTTATACCTACTGTGTTACTT